ATTCTCCGTGTGGCCCAGCAAGCCCTCGTTGAGCCTCTGCCTCCCTTTCACACCACCCAACCTTACCCTGGCAGGAATATCCGTCCTTCTGAAGCTCATAGCCTGGACGGCAGGAACAGAAGTAGCCACCGATGTAGTTGTGACAAAGGTGTTGGCATGGGGGCTGGGGATTCTCCTCAACCGTGTTTCGCTGGGTAGCACATTCATCAAGGTCTGAAAGAGATTCCGGGAGGAAGGATTGAATTCCTGCCAGGGGACTTCTGTAGTGGGGTCGGTCTCCGAGTGGTCACTCACCAGAGGCCACAGGACCAAGTCAGCTCCCGACTGCCTGGACCTCTGGGACTTTCTAATGCTTTCTGGGAACTACTATTGGGGACAGAGCCCTGGCTGGCATGCTCTTCTGGAAGAAGCTCTCTTGGGGGGAAAAAATAAGGAAGGCCAGGCCTCTTGCTTTTTTGGATTCAAGATTCCCTTTTGCTGGTCCCCATTCAATATGACTGAGGCCCAAAAAAGGGCCCTTGGGGACCACTCACCCACAGCATGGTAGTAGGCCAGAAAGCCCTTGTAGAACATGATGGTGCCATTCTCCTCATTGGAGAAGTCCGTGTGGAAAGTCAGCTGCATCTTGTTTCCCTCGGATATAAATTCCTTACTTCCTGGGGGGTTGCCCAGTGGAGAGCCCAGCTGGCCACAGAACCTCCCCAGGGTTCTCTTATCAGCAGAGATCTGGGGGAGGGAGGACAAGGAGCAGGAAGAAGGGCTGCCAAGGCACGTGCCACGTGCAAAGGCAGCAGAGGTCTTCCTCTTGTCCCGGAGAGGGAATCCCCCCTATGTCTGCGGTAGCCTCCAGCTGGTCTCCACCTGCTGGGCTCAGACTCCCCCAGATGACTTTCATCTGCCCGCTGAGTCTCCCATTGGCCGACTCTTTCCATGCTGTCTGTGCCCTTCCTGTTTATGTTCCCCAGCGTGTTTCAGAGTTCTCCTCTTTCCCACCACCTCCTGTGCCTGTCTTCCCCTGGAGTCCCGGTCAGCTCTCCCCACCTTTACGTTCCCTTCATTCTTAGAGCCCGGACTGATCTGCTTGAAGTTCTAGGTCATTATCCCACCTCACCTTATTCAGACCATTCGCATCCAGCCATGTGTCCTGATACACATCGTTGAATGGGACCCTCTGGGGCCCACCAGCCTTGGCATCAGTGAGCATCGCGCAGCTTCCCTTGTTTCTTTCTTCATTAACCCGCCCAAAGCAGGTGTCCCAACCCTATTCCTCGCCATCCCCACTACCAAGACCCCTCCTCACAGCACTGCAAACTTCTCAGGTCCTCTGGACGAGGAAGATGTATCATTTTCATATTATTCTCTCGCAACCTTCTGGGAGCGGTATTTATTGGACGCGTGTAAGTGCTACTTGACTCCTGAATCCAGAATCTCATTTTTATTGAACGTGGAAGGATGAGGGTACCCTTGGTTGTCAGAGAGGAGACCGGGACGAGCCCAATGTCCTTGCTGAAGACTACGCCTGAGCTACCGCCACACACATTTCTCTTCCCCATGTTTCTGGGTTCCTGAGGAAGCAGGGAGTCATGGGGATATTCTCCAAGGAAACAGGGAAACTGAGGCATGGCGATTTCTCAGAGACTCCCAGCGGGGAAACAGATGGGGATACTTTTCTGACTCCTGCAGATGGTAAATTTCTTGAGAGTGGGGACTGTACCCTCCTTCCTCTGTGTTCCCTGCCCCCCCTGCCCTCCCAGTGCTCACTGAAGGCCTTAAAACCTGTGGACACCATTCATGGCATCACCCAACTCCCAGAACTGCACTCGGCCATCGGCTCTTGCAGGGCTGGGGCTGTGTCCATGGATGGGAAGTGCTACCACCCGTGGTGGTGAGAGCACAAGTCCTCTGCTTGAAGTTCCAGAGCACCCGGCTCTCCCTCTGCCCCCCCGACCTGCCCTCCTACCTTGACATAGTCATAGAAACAGTTTTCGGAGGGCTCCAGGTCAAACTGCCAGAAGACAAGCTTCACCCTGTAGCCTGTGGGGACTGTGATCACAGTGGTTGTCTCAAAGTTGTTGGGGTAAGGCTTGGGGTACAGAGGGGATGTCACCTCCCCAAAGAGCTCCTGAGAGATGGGGATGAAGCCTCCCACCTTGCCGAACAGGACCGACACCAGAAGGTATAAAAGCCACCTGCCAAAAGGAAAGCGGGCGTCAGGAAGGCTGTTTGGGCAGTGACTGGGGCGGGGGGTGGCTTGGCCCTACCGCTGGGCATTTTCCTCTCTGCCCATTCTAGGCCTCACAGATGTTCCAGGTGGGTGCGGGTGGGGTGGGGAGGCCGGTCTGCACAGCTGCTGCACTGGGTGCTCCTCCCCAGGGCAGCGTCCAGTCCAGAGGTCATCACACTGCCTTCACCTCTCTCCCCACCCTCCTCCTGTGCCCAGTCTCATCACTCCCTCCCACTCCCGGAATGGGCTGGCTTGGGACCAGTTAATTGAGGGTGAGGGTTTCCAGTCATGGCTCCCTGGAAGGGCTCCCGAAGGCTCAGCAAAGGCATCTGGGAGAAACCGCTTATGGAGTGTGGAGTGGCTCACAGAGGACACCCCTTCTGGGCAGAGTGGGTTCCCCCATCTTGGTGCCCTCCTGCTATGAGCTGGGAGGAAGAAGGAGATGTGGCCACCACCTCATGTGTGTAAGGTCCCCTTCTGTGCTCAAGAGGAGGGATGGAGGTATGTGTTTGAGGCATGCATGCGTGTGCATGTTGGGATGGAGAAGGCCATATGGGGAGAGGCAGGCTGTTCTCGTCTCTCTGAATAAATTTGGGGCAGGGTTGCCTCTCACGCCCAAGGTTCTTTCCTCTGGTTTCTCCCTCCATTCTTGGTCCCCATCCACCTTACTCACATCTCTCAAGTCCTGATTTTGGATCCTGGACGGTCCTGACAGCGTCTTCATCCACTCTGTGCAGAGGGAGAGAGCGGTCATGTGGAGGAGGGCAGGGGGAGGGAGGGACTGACTGTGGAGGGGGAAGGGGGACCTTTCCCGGAGGAATGTTTCAGGGAATGAACGATTTGCATAAACAAAACTGAAAAAAAAAATTCGTTTCCAGTTTAACTTAGTTTTGGTTTTGAATTCCCCGATTGGGGTGCCACCTGCTGGCCCATTTGGGGAAGGGTCCATTTTTTAGGAACAGGAAAGCCTTCTGCTGGAGGTGCAGACTTCTCCTTTTCTAGGTCTGATCTGAATTCTCCCCTTCTTCAGGGACCTTCCTAGGGGCTGCTGCCATGTCTACAAGGTTCCCACTCAAAGTGCAGTGAAAATCACAGCTGAGGGCACTCTCTTTTCTGCACTGCCCTTCCGGTTCATCCTATGCTCAGTCACCCAGCAGCCCTGGGCCAGGAACACCCAGGGTTTCAACACTCAGGACATGTAACGGAAGCAGTGCAGGTGTGGAAAAAGGGAAATGGAGTTTGGTTGCACTGGGGCCCTGGCTTACTTCACTCAGGAATGCCACTTAGACATGGAGCAGGGGTTCCCCTTTCGGGGCGATCCTACAGCTGCACTTTGCTTTAAGGCTCTTCCTGCCCACCTCAGGGAACTCAGGCCTTAGCTCTTAGAGAAGCAAGGGCAGCTGGGGAGAAAGAAGAGATAAGCCTCTTTTCCTCAGCATCTGGTCCAGAGGGGTCACGATTGCCTTGGGCTAGGCCAAGGGTGTGGCTGTGGACCAAGAGTGACTGAGAGGAAGCCAGGCCCCTGGGGAGGGAGTAGAGCTCTGGCCTCTCCTGTCCATCAGGACACAGTGTCCTGTTTTCGAGGTTTGCTCTTTCTTCATCAACTCTCTATGGCTCAGATGCCGCATGGCGCTGTATTCTATAGGGAGGCTCGGGCTGCAGACCAGGCCTCTGAGTTCTGAGGCCTCTGTGGTGTATCCTGCTGTTTCCCTGATCAGATTAATTCTGGAATCCCTGCACCCACCCACCCACTCATTCATCCTTAATGGGCCGCCTATTCAATATGCCAGGCACTCTCCTAGGCATCGGTTTGCAAGGCAATGGTTTGCAAAGACCAGGCTGTTCCCCATCAGGCAGCGACCACACCATCACTGAACACAGCCGGGGAGGAGGCACGGGGAAGCTGCGAGGTTAACGAGGGCCTGGAGGGTTGCTCTGGCTACGTGTTGGAGCTGCGGCGGAATGAATCTTGTGGCCAGGCCGATCCAGCACCTGACCCGTGGCCTTGTCGGGTTCAGAAAGACTGAAGATATGAAAGAAGGAAAAAGAGCAGACCAGGAGGGGAGAAAAGGGGATTCTTGTCTAGCAAACTGAACACTGGCATTCTGACAGCAGTGTGTGTGTGTGTGTGTGTGTGTGTGTGTGTGTGTGTGAGCTCATGGCAGGGCAGGAACACAGAGGTAACAGGGAAGGAGGGGCGTTCGGGAAGGTGTCTCAGCTGAAGCTCTCCTCTCCCATCTTAGTTCTGAGCTCTGTCCTGGGGTTAAGCAACGTGGCTGGCAAGTGACAAACATGGACCTTGTCAGTTCAGTCCTGGCCCAGCCTCCACTCGCCCAACCACACGAGATAACCTTGACTTGCAGGTTTGTCTTAGGCCCTTGACTTACACTAAGGACTGAAAGAAGAAAAAGCTGTATAAAGGTTGTGCAGGCATTTGTTTTAAAAGCAGTATTTGAGGATATTGTCCATTGTATTATTCACTCCTCTTATGACTTGATTCTGGGGGAAACATTTTCTTCCTTAAAGTAATGGTAGGTTTTTCTTTGTGGCAGTATCTATAATTATATCTATATCTAGACATACCCATACCTATATATACTCATAGATATAGCTTTACATTTTTTGCTTTGGTAGGGAGAAGCTCATATCACTTTTCAATAATAAAAGTTAAAAAATAAAACTGATACACTCTCATTAGATAAAATTTAGCAAATAGAGAAAAACAAGAGAAAACAAAATAGCCAAAATTATACCACTTAAAACAACCTCTGATGAATATTTTTAGCATATTTTTAATAGTCTTTTGTACTGTGTACAGGTTTATAAAATAGAACTACCACATGTACGTACACCTTTGAATCCTATTTTTCAAATACAAATTTAACCTTCAACCACACAGCCCCCTTGATTTTTAATACTAGTAAATTTGCTCTCTTCTGTTTTTTTCTTCACTTCCTAGTTCTATTTGAACACGTGTATTTTATTTGTGCCTTTTACTGTAAATCACCTCATGTCCTCACTAAAAATTAAACAGTTGGTCTTCTCAGGTGGAGCATGGCCTGGGGTGTCCAGCAGCACGGGGCATGTCTGCAGGAACACCCAGCTCCAGGCTGAGCCCAGGAGGCGTGCTGTCTGCAGGAGACAGGCCCCTGGGAAAGTGAGCACCAGCTTCCCGCCCTGACTGCAGCAGGAATCCCCAGGAAGCAAGCATCTGTAGGGTTGTGGGGGCTGGGAAGGGGGAGTGGGTGACACGGCAGGTTCTGAGGACCCCTGAGAGGGTGTCGAGGGGCACTGGAAGGCAAAGGGCCTTTGTAATCCTGGATCAGCTGTGGCATTAGGGCAAGTCGATTTATTTCTCTGAACTTCAGTTTCCTCATTTAAAATGTGGGTTATAGCACAGCCTTTGCAAACCCGGTGTGAGGAGTCAGTGAAACAATGTACATGAATTGCCTGGTATGTGGAAGATGTAACAAAAACCAAGCCATCACTGTGATTGCAGCTGAGAGTTTGAATATTTGAAGGTCAGCTAAAGGGGCTTTGGCATGTTTCAGGGATGAAATGCAGTTAAGACTACTGCCCCCGTACGCCACTTGAACAGAGGGGTGAGAGGCTGGCTGTCTCCCAGGAGAGACAGATGAAGCTGTGTCAGCCGGAGATAAAGTTCGAGGTGAAACCCCCTGAGGGGTACAGGGCTTTCCTGGGCACAGTGCAAACTCACAGGGAGACACAGGGAGAGGGGGAGGGGCTGGGGGAGGCCCTTCCTGTCTGGGCTGGGGTCAGCCTTGAGCAGAGGAGGAGTGCTGTCTCACCCAATGACTCGAATACGGATTCCCTGGCTCCCTCCCTCCCCACCTGCAAGGCGCTGTCTTCACTTTCAACCCTCTACTGTCTGGGGCCTCACAGAGCTGGTGTGAGGCTCAGCCTGCGCAGGGTCAGCCCTTCCCATCCATCACTGCCTTGATCCAGTCCACGTAGTTGAGCACTTTGGTGTAGAAGCCGTACCCTTTGCCACACCCGATGCCCCAGGATACGATGCCCGTGGCCACCCAGTGATGGGCACGATCGTCCCACACTACATAGACGCCACCACTGTCCCCCTGGCAGACACTCTGCCACAGGGCCTTATCCCCAGCACAGAACATGTTGTCAGAGAACACGTCAGTCCTCTGCTTCTCTTGCAGCCAGGCCTCACAGGCCTCCCTCGGGGCCACCGGCAGTCTTGAGTACTTCAACTCAGTAGTTAACCAGCCCATCTCCATGCCAAACCCACTGACATATCCCAGGAGGCCGCTGCGGTAGAGGGTCTCGTTGTCGGGCAGACAGACCGGGAGGAGGTGGGGGCCGAGGGGGACGCTGTGCTGCAGCTGCAGGAGGGCGATGTCCCCGTTGAAGTTGTGTGACTCGTTCTGACGGTAGTCCGGGTGCACAACCACGCGACGCACGGGGTGGTTTCCCAGTTTTATCATCTCATCTATGTTTGTGTGGCCCAGGAACACGTCCACACGCCTCTTCTTCCCAAGAAAGACGCTGTCCTTGGGATAGATGGTGTGGGCGGCAGTGAGGATCCATCTGTCGCCCAGCAGAGCCCCGCCCCCACGGCCGTAGATACTGGTGAAGGCTTGCCATGGGAAGTTGCCCAGCTGAGCTCTGGAAGAACCCTGGCCCTCCTGGTTCTGGGCGATGGGGGTGACTGGCTGTCCGCAGACTGCAAGAGAGGAGAGGCAAGGGTAAGAAACCAGCATGCGTCAAGCCACGTTTTTTAAAGACCGACTTCTGTGAAGGGCTCCTCCTCCTGCCTCCGAAGCCATTTCAAGTCACCTTTTTAGACTCTTGGTGGGACTGTCCTGAGCAAACTCAGGCAGCAGGCAGGATTCGCCTTCAGCACCTCTTTGACTCCCCTTTCTGCCACTTCTTCATGTTTAACCTCTGCCACTACCCCTTGTCCTCCAACCCGTACAAACCACTACTCCCAGCTGCCTCTGGAGCTTTCTGTGGGTCAGGCGTAAAGTCTAAAAAATGCATCCACATTGGGTTAGAAAGGCAAGGCTCTGACTCAAAAAAAATTGGGTTTCAAAAATGGGACTTGAATCTTCATATTCTGCTGATGGGAATTTAAAATGGTGGAAAATTTCCATAATTTTTCACCATTACAGAAAACAGTTAGGCAATTCCTTAAAAAGTTAAACATACTTGTAGAGTTATGAGAGAAGCCAACACCAGCAATTCCACTGCTAGGTGCACACCCAAGAGAGCTGGAAAAATATGTTCAGACACAAGCTTGTACGTGAATGCTCATACCAGCATTGTCCATAAAAGGCAAAAAGTGGCAACAACCCCAATGTCCATCAGCTAATGAATGGATAGACGAACTGTGGTACATCCATTCAGTGGGATTCGATTCAGTCGTGACGGGATGGAGTCCTGATACATGGTGCAATGTGGATGAACCTTGAAGACGTTAAGCTAAAGGAAAGAAGCCAGACACAAAAGGCCACATACGGCGTGATCCCATGATACGAAGTGTTCGGGACAGGCAAGTCCATGGAGACAGAAAGCGGGTTAGTGGTTGTCAGGGGATGAAGGAGGGGAGAGTTGGAGGCACTGGGTTTCTTCGGGGTTGATGGGAATGTTTTAGAATTAGTGGGAGTGGTTGCACAATATTGTAAATATGCTAAAAACTACTAAATTGCACGCTATAAAATGGTGAATTTTATGTCATGTGAATTTAACTCAATAAAGAAGCTAAAAAAAGAAAAGGTGGACTTTCTGGCCCTGTGGTATCTAGGTAGGGAGATATTTGCAGGACAGAGTGCCTGTCTGTCTGTCCTTGAAGCATACCGTACCAAGAGAGGGTTTTCTCTTATTTCTGCACCACCCCTCTGTCTCCTTCACTTCCCCATCTGATTATCTTCCTTCATGCTTTTGCTTTCTCAGTTATATCTTGATCTTTGAAGAATAAGGGACAAGCTCCTTGCCTTTCCTTTTACGGGCCTTCTTGGTTTCCCTCTTCTTCCTCTCCTTCCGCTTTCCCCATCTCCTCTTTCTATTCTGAGGCTTCCCTTTAACCCCCTGCATCCTGGTCCACAGGCCCCACATACAGCTGAGTCCTGTACGGTAAGCGGCCACCGTCATAGCACTGGCAGGTCACTACTCACCTGGCACACAGTGAGGGACCTCCTGCCTGTCCTCTGCCTCTTCCCCGGGGCCCTGGGCTGTGCAAGTGAGCGTCCCTGAGGAGTGAAATGAGGTGAGGCAAGGAAACAGGCTCAGAATCGGGAGGTGGGGCTAAAAAGGTAGGTGCCACAGGTCTCTTGGTGGGAGAAAGGCAGGTAGAAGCTGGTTCCCCGGCAGGTGGGGACTCACCTGCTGGAACTGCCTGATAATAGGGCTCCTGGCAGTGGTTCTGGATGTTGGAGGAGTTGCCTCCAGGTGTGTGTGGGGCTTCAGAGCCCCCACTAACCTGGCTTTTCATACCTATAGGAAAAAAGTGGTCATTAGAACAAAGAACAGAATTGCAAGTGGCGACCCAGGGACTGACTCTGGCCCATGGCCACATTTAGTTTGAACTGCAGTCTTTTTTTTTTCAACATTTGAACTATTTTTCACTGATCGGATTGTCAATGCTAAACAGGTTTGAAAGCGACCATGGTGAGTAGGATAACGGGGAAACAGGATTTTCAGCCCTGATGAGTGGGAGTGTGAATTCACAAAACCTCTATGAGGAGAATTTAGCAATGTCAAAATTAAAACTGTGATTTTTTTCACCTAGCATTTTTATGTCTAAGGATTCACCCTCATATGCATGCTCTAAGGTATATATCAGGAGTGTCAAACTCATTTTCACCAGGTTCACAGTTGCCTTCGAAGGGCTGAATGTAACTTTAGGACTGTGTAAATGAAACTACTCCTTAACAGTTAAGCGAGAGCTCGGCACTGCTCCAGGTAGAAACAAGGTGCTGGGCTGGATAAAAGAAGGTGGAGGACTGGGTTTGGCCTGTGGGCCTTGTGTTTGCCGCCTGTGGTGTATACCAAGCTTTCCATAGCAGTACTGCTTGCGGCAGCAAAATATCTATCGGTGGACTAATTCAATATATTATGACATATTAATCAAAGAAATATTATATAGTCACTAGAAAGAACCAGGCAATGCTAGTAGCCACATGTATATGGAATGATCTTGAAGATACATCATTGAGTGAAAAACGCCAAATTTAAAACATTGTGAATATTAGGCTCCCCCCCCCCCCCCGTACACAATCATATTTCAATGGTGCAGAACGTCTTTGGAAGAACACCCAGGAAGTGGAGAATGGAGCTGCTTCTGGACAAGGTGGTCGGGGACTAAAAGCCAGAGATCAGAGGAAGACTTACTTTACGCCACATATTTTTTTTGAAATTTTTATCATGTGCATATATTACCTTGCAAAAAACATTCTGAGTTACCATTTGAAAAACTGGAATTTCACTTAAAATCTGTATTTGGCTGCTCACGAAAAACACAATGATCCTCAAACGCCGGGTCAGTAAATCAGCGTGGGAACGCTGGAGCCCATGCGGATTCCTTTGCTGGAGCCTTTCACCAGGCGGCTCCCCAGCAGGGGCCGGAGGCGGCAGGGAGGACGTGGGCCCCAGTGCCCAGTCCCTGCACCCCCAGCCTCAACAATCACTCAAGCTCCCCCTCGTTTTTTCCAGACACCAGGGATCATGGCCATGGGCAGAGAGTACAGCCCCAGGATGGACACTCACTCACGGCTTGGTAGAGGACCAGGAAGCCCTTGTGGAGGCCAGTTGTCTGGTCCTCAGAGGAGGCAGGTGCACGGAAAGTCAGCCGCAAATGGTTCCCTGAGGACACAAACTGCCTTTGGCCTCGGGTACCGCCCAGCACAGAGCCCTTCTGGCCACAGAACAGGCTTGGGTCCATCCTACTGGCTGTGACCTGAAATGGGAGCAGAGGGGCAGGCAGGTGTGGGGTGAACCTGCACCCTGGGTGGTCCCAGGAGCACTCAGGGTCACGGACTGCATCCCCACCTGGCAGGTCAGCACGCCCCTGTGGAAGCTTGCTCATGTGGCTTCCTGTCCATTATTGACCCCCAAGCTTTTTCCAGATGTGTCCAGGTACCCTGTATATTTCTTTCTTTAGCCTTCTATACTTATCTCATAAAGCCCACCATATCTGCCTGCTTCCGAAAGGCTCCTTGGGAATAGAGTCAATAACATATAATAACTATGTTTGGTGACCGATGGCTGGTAGACTCATTGTGGTGATCACTTTGTAAACCGTATGAATGTTGGGTCAGTATGTTGTACACCTGAAACTAATATAATACTATTTGTCAGTTATAATGAAAAATAAATCAATGAAAAGAAGTTCCTCGGGACCCCCAGGGCTCCCCCAATAGTCCACTGGATTGTAAGTTCCAAGAAGGTGGGAAATACATCTGTTTTGCTGACCACAGAATCCCTGGTGCTCTCATATGGTGCTTATAGCACTGCAGCTTTGAACCGATGAAAATACAGACATAAGTCTCTCCCTCCGGCTTCCTCCAGCCCCACCCCCTTCCACTTTTCTGAGTAACTTCCCGTGGGCCAACATCTGTGACGCAATAAGACCCTCTGCCGAGACCAAGCTGGGGTTTCTGGCCTTTCCTGTTCTCTTTTTTGGAGTGTCTCTCCTCCAGCTGAACTGTAAATAAAGCCCCACAAGGGGTGGGAACCTAAGGGCACAAGTGTACGCAGTGCGTATAGGCTGCCTGTTGTCGTTTAACTTATATGTTCTTTACGGAGGGGTCTCTGTTTCTAACCCCTGTGATGGCCTCGCCCTGCTCGAATTCCTTTCGGTGGGTTCTCCGACCCACAAGGACACCTCTCGGAAGGAGTTCTCCTCGCCCACGCTTCATGCTCAATCTCTATTCTGGGCACTCAGCTTCCTGCTCAGCTCATTTTACTCATTTCTTTTTTTTCCATTTAATTTATGATTTCCGTATGGATCCACCCCTGGGTTCTTCATTCCCTCCTTCTCCCACAGTCTCAATTTCCTTTCAACACGATCAAGGACAAAATAGTGAGAGGAGATGACAGCAGATGAGAGATGCCAGTAACGTCTTGGAAGGCGGACTAGGGATGGAAAAGGGGCAACTATGGATCTGACTCTGCAGAGGTGGAAGCCAACGTAAAACACGCAGGCTCTTATCACAGAAACGAGGATAACAGGAACCCCTGAGGATGGGGACGAGTGGGGCAGGGGGTGGGGGCTAACAGAAGCCTAGGTAGGGAGACCTCGGAATTCTGGACCCCTTCGCCCACCCTGTGCACCAGGCGACTCCCTCTGGTTCACCCTGCCTGGCAGGAGACCTCAGCATGAACCAGAGACCGTGGACTTGGGATTCCCTGGGACACTTGACAGAAGGAGTGAGATCAGAACTGAAAACAGAGGGACTGGGTGAGAGTCTACATATCAAACAGTAAGATGCCTCTGCTTGTCTACCAGAAGGCAGGCAACTCCATCAGGAGACCAGAGGACTCCCCCCTGAGGCCGGCCATCCCCTAGGGAAACGCTTCGGCAAGCCGACCAGCAGCACACCTAGTCCACCTCGCTTGTAGCCTTATTGTCAAACTTGTCGTTTCATAAATTTTAGCTTCTTCACAGAGCATCCAGTATCATCCTAGTACTTCCTTTTTAAATATAAACGAACAGCCAAGGATTATCAGACATTGTAGGAGAGTCTCTAACATGAAAAGCAGAGACAAAATGAATGAAGAGTAAAAAAAAAAAAAAAACCTGGACAAAGTAGAGAAGATACAGGGAACAGAAACAGCATTGGAAAATAGTCCCATTACAGGGAAAAGAGTCTTGTGTGTGAAATAAGAACAACATTCTGTAAAAAGGCACATTTGGAAAAGAAGAATAAGCCTTTAGTCATAAAAAAAAGAGTGAAGAGAAAAACCCACCGAAGTGGGTGTTTAAAATGAGAAAATCTCCCAGAAAGGGAACCAAAAGGACAAAGAGATGGAGAACACAACAGAATGAATAACAAAACCAGAGGATCAGTCCAGAACATGCAACAGTTAAATTACAAAAATTCCAGAAAAAGAAAATAAGGAGAGTACATGCCTGGAAATAATTTTTAAAAAACAATGTAAGAACATTCCTAGAATCCAAGGGCTGGATGAAGAGTCTCTAGATTAAAAGAAGGCTGTACAGCGAGTAAAGAGTGAACCACATGAAGGTACCTCATGAAGTTCAGAATGCTGGTAATAAAGACAATTCTAGAAACTCTAGAGGGAAAAAACTAAGGGCCAGAAATCGTACTGCTGTCAGACTTAACAACACCAGAGCTAGGAGACCACATCATCAACATTCTGAGAGAAAACATCTCCCGGCTTAGAATGCAAGCTGGATAAACAACCCACCCGCTGTGAGGGCAGAGCAAGACATTTAGGGTAAGATCCTCTAAAACGGACTCCCACATACCTTTTCTGGAGGAGAAAGTGCTCCTCTAAAAATGAGAGAGAAAACCAGGAAAGAGAATGACAGTGGGGTTCAGTTTTAATGCAGGACAGGTGAAGGGAAGCCCCAGAGAGGGTGACGTCTTAGATGGCAAAGACTTCAGATTGAAGAAATAAATCGAGATCAAGAGATCTTTTGGTGAAATGTCGCCCATGGACAGGAGGACTCAGATGAGATTTGTGTGTTTGACTGTGTTGAAAGATTTACTCTGCGGCTAAGAGTTGGAGGAGATTAGTTACACAGAACTAAGCAAACCAAAGTAGAACAAAAACAAACAGAACGCTCCAAAGAACTCCATGTAACTATTGACTCCCGGGAAACCGAAAGTTAGAGAGGAAAAAAAATAATAATTATTGTCCATCATGTGCTCAGAGGCGAGTATTTTAAAGTCATAATAATGTAAGTAATGACTATAGATTTAATTAAAAATACTAGTATAGGTAAGCTGGGAGGATGAGAGAGGGGAAATGTAGGAGTGAGGGTCTGTGATAAAGCCGGTCCTAACTTCTATCGTTGAAAGTTAATGGATAATATGTAAAACAAGACAAAACAACAACCAACCCCTCCCAAACCCAAACAACCCAACCCAAACACACAGATACAAACACAAGCAGAACAAGAGTGTGACTGATACATATGAAACTAAATGCCAGATGAAACAGCTCCACATTGTGACTAACTGCCCCAGGAGAGTGGAATGGGGTAAGGCGCAAAGCTGGAGACAGCTGTTTCCCATTATAAGCCTTGTAGTACTCTGATTTAAAAACAAAACAACGAACAAACACTGCATCTATTATTTTGATATAAATAAAATCTAAAACAAAAGATAGCAAAGTACCATTTTTAAAGGGTCCTTATTCTGAATAATTCCCTTATCATAGGAACTTTAAGGTAAACTCAGTCACCGAATCTTTTGTTATTGTTCATGCCCAGCTTCCTGCCCTGACAGAGCAGGCACTTGGCAAAATTCTTGATGCTGTGTTTTTAATGACCAATGTGTGAGGCCTTCCTCTTTATTCTAGGGATTGGCAGTATTTGTGTGTCCCTTAGGGGCCAAGATGGCCAGGGCCACGGCTGCTGGTAGAGGCTGCACACTTGGGCAGACCCTCGCCTCCCAGGGAAGCCAGCCTGTGCCCCTGACTTGGGCTCTTCATCCATTCTCCCAAAGCCAGGGCCCTGCCACCTCCCATTGCCCCTGGGCTCCAGGCCAGGAGGCTGCCTCCCCGGAGTCCCTCTAGGACCCCAGCTCACTGTGACCGAGTCCTGCTCATAGTCCTGGGACAGCTCCAGGTTGAAGTCCTGGAGCACGAGCTTCACAGCAAAGCCCTCCGGGGCCTCGATGATAATGGTGCTCTCTTGGCCTTCGAGGTATGGCTCCGGGAACCCAGGGAATGTCAGCTGCTGGGGTAGCTGCTGGGCCAAGAGCACGGAGCCCTGTGTGGGGCAAGCCTGGAAGACTCCCCAGAGAAGCAGCCACCACCTGTGAGTGGGTGAGAGCAAGATGAGTCCACGTAGCTGTGGCCTGAGGCCTGAGGCCTGTGGGGTCCTGAGGAGTGGGGGCAGGCACTGCTACGGGGCTGAGAGACCTGGCAAAGGCATTAGCAGCTGTGGCCTCGGCTCTTGAGCCTTGACACCTCTGACTGCTGTCTTATTGCCCTTCTCCGCCCAAATTCCTTCAGCCTCCTCCTCAGCCTAAGCTCTACGTTGAGTTTTTCACCATTGCTTATCTTCCCGGAGAGTCTCAGACAAGGTGGGGGGCTACTTTCTGCTCCAGCAGATCCCAGCCCCACCCTGGAATCTGAGGGAGACATGGAGGTACAAGTGAGGGGCAGTGAAGATGTTAGCTTCCTGGCTCAGAGCACAGTGCCTGACCACCCCCCAGGAAGGCTGCTAGAAGCGAAGGGCAACTTCTAATGCCCCCCCACTTTAAGTGGCTCTGAGTGTGTGTGAGTGTGTGGGTGTGGGTTTCTGTGTGGGGTGTACACGAGCCCCTGGGTTCCCACCCTCCTGTCCCCCACCCTTTTCCTCTCCAGTCCTTTCTAAGGGCACACTCACATCTTGCCCAGGCAGCTTGTGGAGCGGGGGCTTCCCCAGAAATAACTCCCCTGCTCCGAGACCAGGCCTCTGGAGTGGGACGACTGGGACCTTGGAGAGGACTTGGCCCAGGCCAGGAAACCAGAGGTGGGGCCAGGGAGAGCCATCAAGGGGAGGTGGGAGGTTACTGGAAATGAGTTTAGTAATTCTCCAGTTCCTTTTTCTAATTCTCTGGGTTGGGTGCCACCTACTGTCTGACTTGGGTACATCTCGGCCACCACAACTTAAGAGGAAAAACTCCAAAACCTCGCTGGCCCTCAGAGGTCAGGGGTTGGGAGGGCACTGACTCTTGACTCTTTGGTACTATTTACAAAATAGTAAATAGTGGGTATGGCTCCTTGTGTGTTATGGCTGTTGCCTCTAGTCGGCCATATCTCTCCCTCCCTGACCTTTCCACTCATTTGTATTACCTGCCTGCCTCTTGTTGAAATGGAAGTTTGTGACCTCTGAACTTGAACTTCCTCTCCCCCCTCCCTCCTCACCAAGCATGGCTGGGGCCCTTGTTGGGTAGTCTTTTGCATCCTGCTGACAGCAACCCCTGGAATCTGCTTGTCCAGCAGGGTCAGGTTGGTACAGGGCCTGGATCGGGCGCAGATTCCTGCTTCTTCAAGCAGACACCAGGGCTATGGCTGGGCATAGAGGCCACCTCCCCCCGCCCCCCAAGACACGCTCACCCGTGGCCTGATAGGGGTCTAGGAGGTTCTTGTGGAGGCTGGTGGTCCTGTCCACAAAGGAGGCAGGTGTGTGGGAGATGGAAAACAGCAGCAGTTCCCCAAGGACACAGACTCCCTGTGATCAGGAGGCTGCCCGCTGGGGAGCACTGCTGCCCACAGAATCAGCTCAGAGCAGGGGCTGTGACCTGAAATCCAGGGGAAGAGCGGGAAGGCAGGCAGGTGAGGAGTGACTGCACCACCGGTGGTCCCGGGGTCACATCCTGGGTGTGGACTGTGGCCTCGTCTGGAAGTTTTGTGCACCTCCGGGGTTCAGAGGTGTAACTCATGGTGGCTCTGCCACATACTTTTACTTACCCTTTCTCTCCCGTTCTTCGGGCTACTGAGGCTGCCATATGTTAAGAATGGCTCCTCACCTACTCCAGTGCTCTTGGTCCATAATTCTTTCAGGGGACTCTCTGGGAACCCTTCAGGGTGCTCGCCAACGATCTACTAGGCCTGGGCTTCCCATCACCATGGCTAATAAGGCACCCTGCCCACATACGGGGTCGTGTGTGTGGCTGAATCTGGAAAGTATGGGTAGAGAGTCTTCCAGTGGGCTTCTTCCCTCTGCCCCCTTGCACTAACTCTCTACCCCTCCCGCATCCAGCCCCACTGTCACTTTAAGTGACCTGACTTTTACCTCTTCCCCTCTTCTACAGGATACTCCCGCTTGCCCCCAACAAACCCAACAAAATGTGTATGGTGTAACACAGCTATCTAATAACAGACATAGAAAAATGTAAAGATACAAAATATACTAAAAGATGGTATCCTTGTGCATATTTTGTAACCTTGTAATAATAAGGAGCAGCAGACCCTTCTGGCTCCCTCTGGGTCATTTCCAACGACTCTGCTCCTGCCCAAGTGCCATCCCTCTGGGGTCCTCTCCTTCCCAGAGCCTTGTCCTTCCATCCTTAGTCCAAGGGACAGCTTGGGGGACAATCCCTGTCACCCCTATTCCATGAAGTAATCTCCGCTTAGGGTGCATGCATGCTGCTCAGGTCCCTGGTGGTAGGTACGTCCCTGTTCTTGTTACTCAGCTTTAAAAGAAAAATCCTCATCTGCCCTGGCTGGTGTAGCTCAGTGGATTGAGCACTGGCCTGTGAACCAAAGGGTCACCAGTTCAATTCCCAGTCAGGGCACATGTCTGGGTTACAGGCCAGGTCCCCAGTGGGGGCATGAAAGAAAAAAAAAACACACATTAATATTTCTCTTCCTCTCTTTCTCCTTCTCATCCCCTCTTTCTAAAAATAAATAAATAAAATCTTTTAAAAATCCTCATCTGAGGATATGTTTATTGATTTTAGAGAGAGAAGCCAGGGAGAGAGAAACGTCTGTTGGTTGCCTCCCATATGCACCCACACTGGGGATTGAACCCACAACCTAGGTATGTGCCCTGACTGGGGGTTGAATCCCCAACACCCTGGTGCACAAGCCGATGCTCCCACCGACTGAGCCACCAGGCCAGGGCTCATCACCCTGATTTTTATTTGTCCCTCGCCTCCTTCGATTTCCTCCCTTTCTCCAGGCTTTTGTGCTCTCTTTTTTTCACTTTCTTCCTTAATCCAAGCTTCTGCTCTGACAGCTTCCTCTCCTTTGTACCACTTATTGCTCCGCTCCGTCTTCCTGGGGAGTCTCTGACTCAACAAGACAGTTTCCTATCGGGCTTTGGAATTTTTATTGTCTTTCAAGTAACAGGGACCAGTGGCGACGAGGACCCCAGACATCACGGTCAGGGCCCAAGTCTTCCTCAAGGTCGCCCCGGGGAAGGGGTACTGTAGGCCACGGCCCAGTTCCAGACCCGGAGTGAACTGAACGCAGGGTTTCGCTGCTTCTCTCTCTTTTTTTTTAAACTTATTTTTCAATTACAGTTGACCTACAATATTATATTAGTTTCAGGTGCACAACACAGTGACTACACATTTCTATACCTTACGAAGTGACCTCCCAGTGAGTCTGGTGCCCATCGGACACCGTGCACAGGGATTACGGTATTGTTGACTGTGTTTCCCACGCTGCACTTTGTATCCCCTCGACTGTTTTCGTAACTGACAACTTGTTCTGAATCCCTTTCTCCTTTTTGGCCCGTTCCCTTGTCCCCAACCCCCACTCGGCGATCATTAGTTTGTTCTCTGTTTCTCGCCTTTCTTTTCCAGCTCTTTCCACAAGGCTGGTTCCTATCTTTCCTGGTAGATCACAGAACAGGGATTCCTTCTGTGAATTAAACAATTGCTGACTCTTAAGCTTTTTGAAAAAAAAAAATCAAACAGAGTAATGGAATTTTATCTTGATGCTTGAAAGGAGGAACAGAGTTAGTCCCAAAGGTATTCTCCTGGTCAACAGACAAACAACAATCTCACAAGTATTTGTGCTTTCTGGAAAGTAAACGGTTAATTACAATTTTTTTCTATGAGTATAAGTTATCAACAACCAGCCAGACTGGCATAAAACTTTTACGTTTTATAGACTACGTGGCACTGGTCGTATAGCAATCATCTCTGAAGTCTGAATGCCTTTAAAAATTCCTTTGTATAAATTATACTCCAAAGATGATATAAATATAACATGGAACAGAATTATGTGTTTCCACACCAGTGAGACTGAATATTTTTGATTCACCACTTTATCAAAATCAACTGTATGAGCAGAATCAAGTCTGATTTTCTGCAATGCTACGCTAAGAAGGAGTACGTTCTGTTCTCATCTTGCTCAGATTTATTTTGTTAGCATTTGTGAGGCTTGCTTTTTGAAACCAAGTACCAGAATTTCATTATGTAGGATTGTAGAAGGCAGGTCTGAGAAGCTTAAAATGTAGAAAAGAAAAGAGAAAGCTAACAAGTGTACTATGGGACACATTCTGTCTTTCAGCTACAATTGAAAGTCAGGTCCCCTCACTCCAGGGCTGTGGCTGGGGAAGGCTCCAGGAGCAGGAGGAGCTGCAAGTTACTAGCAATACAGTAATTATCACCACGACCTAAAACAAAAACCTGTAGATACCATTTGTGGTCTGGCCTGGGGATGACTGAAATATTGCAGCTAGTTTTTATCCCAATCGAGGCTTGATATTTCTGAGACCAGGAAGACCTCTTACCCACCAACAACCAGACTTGACTTGAAGGAGAAGTTGAAGCAAGTTCTCTGGGGACCATGCCAGCTGCCTGTTTAAAGAAAAACTCTCTCTCTCTCAAAGCCCCTACTTCCATTTCTTTATGCTCCTGGTTCTCTATCTCTGCCCTTCCTTCCCAGGTGGGTGCTCTGGGGAGAAGAGCGATGGCCACATGGAGGTGCGAGGACCGGAGTTGAGAGAGAGACAGACTTTGGTGAAGGCAGTGGAATTCACCTCTGTGGACTCCTCCGCAGTTTCTGGTCTGCACTGTTCCACCTTGCCTGCGTTGGAAATGTGGAGATACAGCTGGTGTCTCAGTCCTGCCTTCTCCAAGGTGTTGGCGCCTGTAAGGTGGCTGATTGTGGACTGCTTGGCCCGTGGTCCTTAGAAGTCTAGGTTGAGCCACTTCTTGCCGGTTGAGGGAGGAGGCAATGCAACCCCAGAAGAGGAAGCCTTCTGCTCATGCCTGCAAGGAAAAGCCAGGACCTGCTGGGTGTAGCTCAGGAATGAGAGGGGCCAGAGCATGAGCCCACAGGGATCTGTCCTGGAAGAAAGGATGCTGGACTGGCACTAGGTCGTAAGGGTTAGGACCCCCGTGTCATGTTCTTTGTTTCTCTGACCATGTTTCTCTACAGCTACGCCTTCATCGTCCAGCTGTCTAACCACCTAGCAGCCCCAGCAATACTGGCAAGCTGCATTTATTGCCACCCACCCTGAGTCACTTTATTGTTGTTGTCATCTCCCTGAATGACTCTGATAGGTTTTGTAAGGTCATTAGTGCCTTACCCGCTAGGGTATTAATGCCCCCTCTCTTTGTTGCTTTGGTGGACTAACTTCACTTCGTCTCCCAGAACACATTTTAGAATCATCTACTGAGAGAGCATGTGTCTCAGTTTGGTTGGAACTATTCCAGTTTACACTGGTTGTCCTGGTGTAATTGTTTATATGCCCCCTTTCCCTTTCCAAGTTATCCTGGTTCGGGCAAACTCTATGGTCATCCTAGAAAATGGTGCTTTGCAGCCACTTCAGTATGCCGGCTGTGCTGCCAGAGACCTCCCACACCATGAGCTCACTCACTCCCGCCAGTTGTGACCGCCACACCACTCTGAGCCCTGGTTGCCTGGAACAGTGTCCAGCAGCTCTGTGCCTTGGTCACCATGCTGCCACGAGCAACACCACAATACTCCCTGCACTCACTCATAAGACACAGGCTCAGCAACATATCTCTGTTTCTTCCCTCTCCACCAAACCCAGAGCCTCCCTCCTTCTTCAGTACTTAGCAAAACGTCACCTCAGT